AAAAAAAAAAAAAAAATCTTTCTAACCTATAAAATAAATGCATTCCCAATCCATTTTTTTTACTTCTCACAATTTCTAAAAAAGACTATTTAATTTACTTGTCAATTTCGATTTTCAACATAGCATTAAAGTCCTTTCTTTTTTTCTTTTAATTTTGCTCCTTTTAATAATTGAGTTTTCCTAACTAGTGCTTTAGGGCACAAGTTAATGGTGCAATCATTGCAGCTTTTTGACATTAATTAGTATTGAAAAATACAAAAGCTATAAGATGCAATTGTTTGAATAAAGTTCATCCTTTATTTTTTCAATACCAATTAATGTCAAAAAAATACAGTAATTACACCTTTAATGGACACACATTAGAAAAACCCTTAATAATTACTCATGTTATAAATCTCAACTTCCCAACTATAAGGATAACTAGAGTAAACATGTAGATTAATAATCACTTAACTAAATTACCAACTAATTCCCAAATGGTAGAGAATAATCAGATATGACCAAAAGACATTTAGATTAATAATTACAAAAATTTGTCAACTAAATAATGCATTTGAATCATTCTAAACAAAATAACAGTAGGAAATAAATAGAGAACTCTCACCCTTCATAACAAACCACCAGTTTGATTATAATTTCCAGAACACAGAATAAAATCCACAATGCAGTGTCTCACATGTCAATCTGAGGACTTCTCACAACAGGTTTATTGATCCCGTGCCTACAAAATTCAATCAAACTACAAATAACTTCAAGCAAGTCAAAACCATGACTTCAATAAATTTAGCATTTACAAAAATTTGTTTATAATTAGAAAATTTTTGAAATCATAGTCACAAAAAAATAGAAAGCAGTAAAAATTTCAAGCCTCAGACGAGTCAATAGACATCAAAGATTATTTCAGTCGGTAATTCCAACTATAAAAACATCTATATCCTCATTGGCTTCAACAACAATATATTTCTTTTCACTCAAAAATTTCAAAAAAGATTAGCCACGAAAATGTAATCGCCAAAAACGGCTCCATAGATCACGAAGATTCAGATCCACAGGTTCCTATCAGCAAGCAAAACATTGAGATTGCTCTGGGTCCAATCATAGCATTGCCGGTCATAGCTCTTTTAGCTAACAGCAACATGGCATTGGACCCAAATTTTAATAAAGAAACCCCCAGAGACCCGTTTCAAATCACACAAAGAGAGGAATAACGTAAGGGCTACCCATTCCTGACCAATCAGCAAGCCCAAAGAAGATGAACCCAGAGAGGGAAACAAACCAGAGGGCAGAGATTGGTGGATGGGAACAGGGTATTCCTACAAGTTGCCACTGCCAATTAAGTGTCATACAGCACTTCCTATCAATGGGAATTCTTCCTCATTGGGACTTCACAAAAAGAAAAAAAGCTAGAAAATAGAAAAGACTCTTTGAAACATCCATTAAAAACCCCATTGTTGGTTCAGAAAGGTCCAGTTCAGTGAGGATTTACATAGAACATTGACGCAATTTTGGCATTTTCAATCTTAGCAGACAAAGCCAGTCGCATAGCAGATGAATTTAGGATAACTGACAGACTATTCCTTGAATCAATAAAAGAACGAAAAAAAATCAAGCTATAAATCAAAAACAAAACTCTGCATCACTCTATGCTTGGTTCATGGCATAATTCTTGTGATAAATAAATCAGGAAGGGGTAGCACATTTCCAAACTCAACAAAATAATCAGGAAATTCACAAAAATTGTTGATGCTCCAAAAAAGGGGTCATCAGATAGGAGCAAAAGACATGAAATTTTAATAATCACAGAGATTATCAGCTGAACTATGCATTCAAATCATCACATGACCCTACACCAAATAATCATCATTTCACTAAATCTACAAACAAAATTAAATTCATCAAACTTAAAACAAAGAAAGAAACAAAGCTGCAAGCCTCAGAAGGAAGGCAGTAGGAGTATGGATGTAATCACAATATCTCAGGAATAATTATAAAACTTCATTCATCACAGGCAATATATTAGATAATGTTGAAAATAAAAATCAGCCTCATATTAGAATTACATTAGACAACATATTAAGATTCAGACATATGCTTGTCAAAATGATTTAATCATTGGCTGAATACCAAATTCATAACTAAAACACTTAAAATAAAAATTAAATTAAATTAAATATAGGATGAAAATAATCGGCCTCATAGAGAAGATTAGACTAATCAACATGAAGCTTTCAGACATATGCTTGTCATGTAAAAGAAAATTAAATCATTGGCCGATTTGAATAGAAGAAAAAAAAAATTGAGGGACTCAGAATATGGGTGGTGATATATCAGGATGGTCGGCAAGGCTATCGGAGATAGCCATTTACGACGAACGAGACCTATGTGAGATGAATCGTCACCGTCCCTTTGAACCCAAATCGGAAGAGAAGGAAAACGGAAAACGTTTCCATGTCGAAATTAGAGGAGAAAGCACTAAAATATGAGCAGATCTGAGGAATAGATGCCTATCTGGAAAGGATGCGAAAAAGAAGAACCATTCTCAGAGGACCTTTGCTTGTGAGCGCATGCTGTGTCGCTTAACTCGCATCGTGTTATATACTACGGCGAGGGAGATAGGGTTAGGGGTTTTTTGTGTCTTTTCCTTTTGGGCCAGACCAGAAAATCAGAGCTAGGGTTTTAGTATATGGCGGGTTGCTTTTCTGTTTACATGCGCCTTTTCTATTTTTTCTGGGAGGAAAGTCTTGGGCCCATATCTTCTTTGGGTTAATGTGAACTCTCTGTATTTTTATTTTTTTTAGATAAAAAATAATTTATATATTTTTCACTTTTTTAATGAGAATATTAGTTCATTCTCGTTCCATTGAATGTAAGATTATAGCATTTATAAAATTTCAAGTTAGAGGTTTCTAATACAAATTTTGAGATACACATTGAGAAATTTGATAAATAGAAGAATTATTTTTCCTGTATAATTTACTTTTAGATATTAAAAATTAAAATTAATAAAGCTTGAGCATGGGGTTTCCTGCCCCATCGCCATTCAACTAACAGTTTAGTGATGGAGAGGAAGAAAAAGAGGAAACATTTTCTTTATTATTTTAAGTCCATAGACTCTGGTGTTTTTAGACTCAACATCAAGGAGATTGTGCTATTGACAAGAGTGGATCAAGAGGTGCTTGGGTCATGATGGCAGTTTGGAACATCTAATTAAAGGAATACTTTCAACGAGCTTGGCGCTTGATATTCATCTTCTTTCATTTGCTTCAAACCCTTGATTGTCAAAAGAAAAGG